TCGCTGCTGTACCTTCTCTGGGGTGCCATCATTCCTGCCCCCTGGAAATGGAAGATCTGAACCTCAGGGCCCTGGGGGGCTGGTACCCTGTCTCTCCAGACCCGAGGTGGTAGAGAGGGGCATAAGGACACTGGCGCTGGCTTTGGGCGAGCCTGGGTCACATCCTGGCTTGAGACTCCATTTCGCAGGATGACCTGAGACCACTCAGTGTTGGGATTTGAACTGGTTTCTGTCAAGCTCCTGGTCTCGGCGAAGCTTCCCACCTCCTGGCTGGCTCGTGGTGGGCCACACCATGGTGACACAGGTAGAGTGGTCACAGGAGCCAAGGGATGCACCTGCTTGTAACCCGTGAAGTGCCCGGGGGAAGTGCAGGGGTGCAGCACACTGGCTACTTGTCCAGCGGGCAATGCTCCTGCCGGCTGACTGTGTGTCTGCACTGAGTGGAGGGGAGGGGAGGCCGGCACCCCCACCGGGTCCCCTACCAGGCGGGGACTGGCTCCCTGGGAACCCTCTGGATGACCAGAAAGTCACTGCCATTTCATTACTTCAGGGCCTGGCAAATTGCTATGCGTGACAGCAAGCTTAAAAATGAAATAATAAGTCTGTCCTTTTAAAAAGCAAATTGTGACACCGGAATATTCATGAGCTGTGACTTCACGGGAATGGCAGCAGCGGAGAGATTAGCATTCGGTTAAGTCAGCAGCACAGGAATTTAGGGAAATGCACTTGTCACTCTGAGGAAACGAGTGATTAATACTTTTCCTGTTTGCGGGGCCCCTTAACGGGCGAATTTTTAATGTAATAATTAATTAACCTTGAGACCACTCCTATCTGCCAGGCTCTCGAGGCCTCGGTTCCTCAGGGGTGGGTGCAGCCAGCTCGCACACAGCCCTGCTCGTGGGTGCCCATGACCTCTCGGCGGGGGGGGGGGGGGTCAGCGGGGTACCCCCCACACTCACGCCTGCCCAGCACCTCAGAGTGGCTTTGTTTGGCCACAGGGTCTTTGCAGACGTGACTGAGCATGGATCTGGAGATGAGGTGGACTTAGGGCGGTCCCTGCATACTGGGCACACATCCTCTAGGACAAGAGGAGACAGGCACAGGGAGAGGGAGATTCGGGACACCGGTAGTAGGCTCAGGGGAGACAGGCCAGCAACTCCAAGCCGGGACGCCCCCTCAGCTGGTCCGGGACAGACCCTTGCCCACAAAGGGGACCAGGCCTGCCCACCTGTGTGGCCTCCAGGGCTGGACAGGAGTCTGTTCCTGCTGTTTGGAGCACCCTGCTTTGTTACATGGCCCCAGGACACTCCCACACCAGGTGACCTTGGGTAGGTGCTGGAGGGCAGCTGAGGGAGGTCGGGAGCCAGCATGGGCTGCACCCTGAGAACCATGAGCCCTCCGGGCGCTGCATGCAGGCTTTTGCATGAACAGGTTGAGAGACCAGATGCCTGCCCCTCCTCTCTCTCTCTCTGGGCCTGGAGTCTCCCCCTGCAGGTGTTGGCCCTGACCTGTGCTTTCGAAACTGGGTTCCCCAAGGCACCCCAGGGGTGACAGTTTGTTGGCTGCCTCAGTTTTCCCCTCAATGGCCTCCTCCTCCCTCTTGCTGTCTGGAGGAGAGCTCTCACTTATCCTTTATGGCCTGTTCCCATCACCCTCGCAGTGCTGGCCGCGCTGAGGTGCCTTCAGAGTCCCGCACCGCCCACGAGGCTCCCAGCAGGGTCCCTGAGAGGACACCAGCTGGCCCCTGCCCACAGGTCACACTGGAGTGGCAGGACTGCGTGCGGCTCGCCCCCGCCCTCTAGTGGCCACCCGGAGGCACCGCGGGGCAGCGGCTGTCGGAGGCTCTGGGTCCCGTCTCTGCCGCGCACCGCAGGGTTGGGTGGGGGAGCAGGAGGGCCAGGTGGATCCTCGCAGCCAGACGCGGAGCCCTCTTTGCCGGGAGACGGTGTCCAGCCTCTGTGGCCCAGGCTGCTCCGGGTGCAGGAGCCGGGTCCGGGCGGGAGCCATGTGTGTGGGGAGACCCTGGGGAGGGAGGTCGTCCTTTTGGCACCACACGGGGCAACTGGGCTCTCCCTGGAAACTCCCAGTGCCAGTGCTGGGATGGGAGCCAAGGCTGGCCCTGGCACATCCAGGGCCACCTTTGGCTTGTGCTGACTCCCTGTTGGGCCCTGGCCTGCAGTTCCGGCCAAGAGGCCCTTCTTCTGAGAGCACCTCCCAGAGCAGTGGCCACCTCACTCCTTCTGCTCCTCCATCATGGGAAGAGGCTCCCAGCGCACAGGAGGCACTGGAGGCGAGGCAGGTGCACCAGGCGGAGTCCTTGGCTGTGATAGGTCAGGTGCATCATGTGGTTTAGGGCTCAGGGGAGGCAAGGAGAGAAGCTGATCGGCAGGCAGCAGCCAGGCCGGTGGGGAGCTCTGGGGCTGGGTGAGATGCTGGCTCTTTACGCCTGCACAGCCCCTGGAGGACCCTCATCAGTGACCTTGCAGAGTAGGGGGGCAGCTGTGGGCTGCTCCTCAAAGCTGGGAGGTGAGTCCTCCCTCTGCGTGTCCACACGCAGGTCCCAATCCTCACCTAGAAGGGGACACGGAGGCTCGAAGAGGAAGCATGGAGGCCTCTTGGGACAGCATGGCCCCTCACTGTGCCTTGTGTGTGGGGGAGCCCTTGTCCCAGGTCCTCGACCTCGGGGTGGGGGGTCTGGTGCCCTACCCTGCATTGCTGGGAGTGGGATTATTGTTTACTGGCTGCTTCTTTAGGTACTCTCCCTGGACAGTGGTCTAGCAGTGGGCGGGGGGCTCCTGAGATGGGTCAGCCAGCAGAAGGTGGGCGGTGCACAGAGAGCTGAGGGCAGGCCCCCATGAGGCACAGCCAGGATGGTCTTCCTGGAGGAAGAGGAGACCCTGAGTCCTAGGGCTGGGGCTGGGCTCCCACAGGCAGCGGAACCAGGAGTCAGCATGTGGGCAAGGCGACTCCACTGTCAAGGCCTGGCTTGGCCCATTCTGCTGATCAAGGTACGACAACCCGCTTTTCGAGTCAGGCAGTTTAACAGAAGGACCCGGGGCCCTCATCCCACATGCCAGAGGGTGGCTCTGGAGCTACAGCAGCCTGGAATGCCCACGGACGGGCTGGAGCCCAGTACCCAGGAGCCCCCTCCAGACAGCGGCCCGGCAGCTCCGGAGTCTCAGCCCTGCTGCCGCTCCTCCTCTACGTGAAGGGGGGCAGGGTGAGCACCACTGAGTCAAGCTCCGATGCACTGGAGGCTGCCCCTCCTGGTCTCCAGCCGGCCCTGCCCCTGGACTTCAGCCCCGTGCCTTTAGCCGCCTTCAGGCCCAGTCCCCTGGGACCCCCTGCACATCCAGGGCACCTTCTGTCCCTCCCTCAGGCAGTGGTCCTGCTGTGCACCTTGTCGCCCACACTGGGGACCCTCATGGCATCCTGGATTCTGCTGTCACCTACAGCTGCAGCTGCCCGCCATTAGGTGCATTTCCAAGCCGGGCTACCTTCTCAGGTCTATGTGCCATCGTCCCCATTGTTCCCACCATCCATGCTGTCCCTGTCATCCCCACTGTCCCCACCATCCCTGCAGTTCCCACCATCCTCACTGTCCTCAGTCCTCAGCGCCCCTACTATCCTCACTTTGCATCACCTTTGGAAGGACACAGGAGCTTCCTGGCTTCCTCCCGCAGCCAGTCTGGCTCCTCCCTGCCCCCACCAGAGGCCCCACCATCCACGCTGCAGTTCTCACAGCCTCTGATGAGGTCCACTTGCTGTGTCCTGACCCCACCGGGTGCCCCCAGCTTCCTTCCCTCCCCTGGCCACCGCCTTGTCCCAGCTGAGCTGAGATACTGTGTCTTCCTTTCCACATCCTCACTCCACTCCTCGTCCTCAACGCTCCTAGATCACCGGGTCCCATAAGCTCCCCTGTTGCCCCGTCCTTTCTGGCTCTGCTTGCCCAGGTGTCCTTCTGTCCTGTAAGACCATGTCTGCGTAGCTGGCAGCTCTTCCACCCCAGTGCTAGGATGCCTCTCCCCGGGGCTGAATTCCTGTCTCTGGCCTTAATTACTCCTGTGTGCCTGGTGGGTAGTGGAGGGTCTGACTCATGGGGCGATTACTAAACACTGGACTGGACAGTCGAGATTCAGACACTGTCAGAATGATCCTGGGGGGCAGTGGGGCACGTGCACAAAGCAGCATGGGGACAGTAAGCACCCAAAGGGGATGGACTTCCAGCCCCTTGAGCTGGGCCGGGGCGTCTCTGCTGGTAAAGGATTTCTGGATGGAGGATGAAAGGCGTGAGCAGCTGCAGATCAAGCACCTGGTCAGGTCTGGCCCCAGAGGCGCTTCCAGACCTGTCAACCTCACAGGAAGCACGAGCAGAGCTCGCCGCTCCCCCGCCCCAGGTGCCACAGTGCCCGGAGTGACCGCTGGAGCCTCTGGCGCGGGAGGTTCGGGCAAGGTGGGTGGGGGGAACCCGCCTGGCTCACAAGTCCCCCGGTGCTGCTGCCCGGGGGCTAGCGGACAACCCGGAGACATTGCTCCAGAGCATGCTGTCCAAAAGAGGCGCGGTAGCTGCCACGTGTGCGATTGAAACTTTTCCCGTAGGCAGTTCTGTGAGCAGTAAGCAGCAGCAGGGAGCTCAATTTCAATACTCCTTACCGAACCCCGTACACCCAGGCAGTTATTTCAAGATATAATCACTATAAAGACAACATCGAGCATTTGTCGTCGCCTCGGACTCTTGGAGATCTGCCGCGTATTTCACACTTAGAGCCCGTCTCAGAACGGACCTCCAAACCCAAGGGTCCCGCGTGCCAGCGGACCGGAGCAGGGGCGGGATGGAGGGCGCAGCAAGAGAACTACAGCTCCCGCCGTGCCTCCGGGCTCTCCCTGTGACGCATTCCCGCGCGGCGGCGGCTGCGCCGAGGCCGCCGGAGAACCACATCTCCCGGCATGCTCCGGGCGCGCTGTGACGCACTTCCGGCGCGGCGAAGGCAGCGCGCCCTCGGCAGCCCGGCGGCGGGAGTCAGGCTACCGCTCGGCCCGCGGCAAGTGTTGGGCGGCTGGCCTAGGGGAGCCGGGGCGGGGCGGCGGCGGCCAGCGAGGGAGCGCGCGGGCGGCCTGGCCCCGCCCCGGTGACCTTCACGGCCCGGGCGGCGGGCGCAGGCCCGGCGGCGGCGGCTGCGGCGGCGCGATGTTCGTGCAGGAGGAGAAGATCTTCGCGGGCAAGGTGCTGCGGCTGCACATCTGCGCGTCCGACGGCGCCGAGTGGCTGGAGGAGGCGACCGAGGACACGTCGGTGGAGAAGCTCAAGGAGCGCTGCCTCAAGCACGTAAGGCCGTGCGGCGGCCCCAGGCCGGCCCCTCCGCCCCCCGCCCCCTCCGCACGCGCTCGCGGGTCGTGAGCTCCTGCAGCAGCCTGAGGAGGTGGGGCAGGCCGGGAAACTGAGGCAGGGGCCGCGAAGGCGCCGCGCGGGGCGCCTCGTGGCCTTCCAGCAGCTGCGCCGGCCGGCCCTGGGGGCGAGGCCCTGGAGGGCGGGGGATGGGCGCCCGGGGCGCAGAGAGGGGCCTGTCCGCCCAGGCCGGCCGTCTGCGGCTGCCCGCTGGCCTGCTGTCGGGGCCGGGGCGGGCCGCTCGCTCGGCCTCTCGGGGCGGCCACCGAGCGGGGCGCACTGGCCGCGGCCTGCCCGCTGCCTGGGAGGCCGCCGCCTTTCAGGGTTTATTCGTGGGGAGGGCGCCTCGTTCGGGTAGCTCCGTGGGTTGCTCACTTTTGGAGCTAGTTCCTTGGCTTAATCTCCGGAAACTTTTCAACCGGGGCGGGGAAGTGGCCCTTGGGACTCTGGCTCCCGAAGGGAACTGCACCTGGCGCGATGCTGTGTTCTTGTCAGCCTTTTAGTGCGGGTTCCACATGCTGAGTTTTGTATTTATACGGCTGACAGGTGTTTTGTTAAAGGAAGCGTCTGCTCCAAGGGTGAACTCCAGGTTATGGTAGTAACTACCCACGGAGATCGTTTGGGCCGTTGAGTATGGTTCTGAGGAGTCGCCGTGTAACCGTCCACTGCAGGCCAAAGAGCGTTCTGGTGGCCAGTGCAAGCCCCCTTCTGGAACGTGCTGGACATCAGGCAGCCGCCGCTGTCTTGGCCTCACGTCAAGGAGGAGGGGGCTCCGGGGCTCACACCCTCGCAGGCATGCAGTCCTGTCTTGTGTCAGTGCTTTCCTCAGGTCCAAAACCCCCAGGACAGCACCCAGCCAGCCGGCAGCGTACTCCCTGAGTGTCCAGGCTGTTGGGGGGACCTCTGTGAGGGTCCAGGCTGTTGGGGGCCTCCCTGAGCGTCCAGGCTGTTGGGGGGCCTCCCTGAGCGTCCAGGCTGTTGGGGGCCTCCCCGAGCGTCCAGGCTGTTGGGGGGCCTCCCTGAGCGTCCAGGCTGTTGGGGGCCTCCCTGAGCGTCCAGGCTGTTAGGGGGACTCCCCGTGCGTCCAGGCTGTTAGGGGGACTCCCCGTGCGTCCAGGCTGTTGGGGGCCTCCCTGAGCGTCCAGGCTGTTGGGGGGCCTCCCTGAGCGTCCAGGCTGTTGGGGGCCTCCCTGAGCGTCCAGGCTGTTAGGGGGACTCCCCGTGCGTCCAGGCTGTTGGGGGCCTCCCTGAGCGTCCAGGCTGTTGGGGGCCTCCCTGAGCGTCCAGGCTGTTGGGGGCCTCCCTGAGCGTCCAGGCTGTTGGGGGCCTCCCCGAGCGTCCAGGCTGTTGGGGGCCTCCCCGAGCGTCCAGGCTGTTGGGGGCCTCCCTGAGCGTCCAGGCTGTTGGGGGCCTCCCTGAGCGTCCAGGCTGTTGGGGGCCTCCCTGAGCGTCCAGGCTGTTGGGGGGCCTCCCCTAGTGTCCAGGCTGTTAGGGGGACTCCCCGTGCGTCCAGGCTGTTGGGGGGCCTCCCTGAGCGTCCAGGCTGTTGGGGGCCTCCCTGAGCGTCCAGGCTGTTGGGGGCCTCCCCGAGCGTCCAGGCTGTTGGGGGGCCTCCCCTAGTGTCCAGGCTGTTAGGGGGACTCCCCGTGCGTCCAGGCTGTTGGGGGCCTCCCTGAGCGTCCAGGCTGTTGGGGGCCTCCCTGAGCGTCCAGGCTGTTGGGGGGCCTCCCTGAGCGTCCAGGCTGTTGGGGGCCTCCCTGAGCGTCCAGGCTGTTGGGGGCCTCCCTGAGCGTCCAGGCTGTTGGGGGGCCTCCCCTAGTGTCCAGGCTGTTAGGGGGACTCCCCGTGCGTCCCGGCTGTTAGAGATGCACACCGGCGCTGGTCTAGTGACGTACATTTAAAAAAAAAAACAAAACTGGAGTCGCTGTGTCCCCTTCCTGTCTGGCCCATCAAGGACAGAAGCTCCTCGAGGGCCGAGGGCCGGGCCTGTGTTTGCATGTCTAGAGCCAGGCTCCCTGCGGGCCCCAAACAAACGTGTGGATTAATGGAATACATGGAGATGGAGTGTCAGTCTGGGACTGCGTGGACATGGCCAGACACCTGCTGAGTCAGGGAGGGAGAAGTCAGGGGGTAAATTGGGATGGCATTTAGCTTAACTCACTCATTTACATAGCTATCATAATATTATTTTATGAAGGGGAGCAGGAAATGAGAACTGTTTGACTGATCCGCAGATGCTTGCTAATGAATTTCAGGAGCTCTTGGGGTTCATTAGGCAGCCAATTTGAATAAGATGCTAATTATTATGTACCTGATATTTATTATTCCAGTCGGGATTGAGGTATGTCGTTTGGGATTTTTCTGGCACTCTCCTCCTTTAAATTGAGATTTTATTCCACTCTGCAGTCTTTCCAGGTGTGGAGGAGCGGCATAAATCACAGGACCCGAGAGCTGAGTTGTCAGCAAGTATTCCCACGTCTGTGCCTATGCTTCTGTAGGCAGCCAGAATGCATTAGTTAGGAAAGAGAATTCTCAAGTTGTATACTTGAATGTCACCCTGGAAACCATCCCCTGTATGTCCCGCTACTGCTGGCAGTGAGGCTCACTGCGTGCCCGGGCTTCTGTTCCTCCAGGAATTTTCCCTTCTTGCGCGAAGGGGACAGTGTGGATTTCTTCCCCACCCCCTCCACCCCATTTCCACGGTCCTCTGGGGAGTTTGTTGCTTTATTAATGAGTGGTATTATCTTTATAACCCTTAGAGACATGGATTGTCACTGTTTATTTTCTCTTTTGGGGTATTTACTTATTTATTTTTAAAGATTTTATTTATTCATGAGAGACACACAGAGAGAGGCAGAGACACAGGCAGAGGGAAAAGCAGGCTCCATGCAGGGAACCAGATGTGGGACTTGATCCCCGGACTCCAGGATTACGCCCTGGGATGAAGGCGGCACTTAACCACAGAGCCACCCAGGGATCCCCTCTTTTTGGGTTTTTATATAAATTGGGATCTTTCATGAAATTGCTGCTATGTAACGTGGCACCTGTTAATATGGCCGTTCACATTTCTTAGATCATATGACAGTGTGTCTTTGGATGACACATGATATCAAGTGTGAGAGGAACCACCTCCTGGCTCTTCTGGGGAGGAAGCAGGTTCAGGAGGGGTCAGAGCCTCCCTGCCCTGGTGATGGGCTTTGTTGGGGCTGTTTCGCTGCCGTATTTTAGCATGCTCAGAGTGCTTCTTCTGAGAACAAAGACACAGAATGAAGTAATTGTGCACAGTATGGATGACTCATGCTTGTGTTGTGCTCCTGGCACGGTGTTGACATGCTGCAGAGTACAGTTTTTTTTTTTTTCAGGAACCATATGAGGATTGTTTTGGAAAATTGTGTTTTATAGACTGTATTCTGAACTTGTCAAATCAACTAGCCTGCAAATTTCAGAATTAGAAGAAGCACACTGAGTAATTCTGGGAGCAGAGCCAGTGTTGAATTTAAGACGATTGACGATTGGCGGGGGGGGGGGGGGGGGGGTGTGTCTGCTGTCATAAAAGGTAGGGAGTGCACCTTCCTGTGGCCTGGATTCCACCTTTGCCCCCTGCAGCCCTGCTAGGTTATGGGGATATGTGGCAACCTTCACGGTCCAGGTGTTGCTGCAAACCCCTCCAGCCTGGACATCAGCATCCCCCACCCCGGAGCCACATTCTGGGGTTTCTGGGCCCTGGCCAGTGAGCTGTAACCACATGCTAGTCAGCCCCCTTGGACTCCCAGGAGGGGCCCTGCCAGCAGCACCTGCAGCTGGCATCCGGGTCTGTGTGGCAGTCGCTTGGGGAGCCAAGGGCTGATTGAAGGCCAGTTGTTCTGCTCATGGGCTTGTGCAGGTGTTGAAGTGCTCAGGCCCCTCTTTCTGGCTCTCTGTGGACTAGCTTCTCTCAGCCCCTTTGTATATTGGCAAGAGAGAAAAAGTGGACAGATCATACTTAAGATCTTTAGGTGTTCAGGGAACAGTGGACCTGCTGTTTTCATTTTATAATGAGTCTCTAGATCTCTTTAGACTAAGGAGGCGATTCAGGTTGCCACTAATTACCAGCAGGGTATTTTATGTCAAGCTGTGAACCTATTTCAGGAGTACTTAGTGGGTTGGTGGACAGATCGCTGCCCTAGGGGATCAGGTGTTGTGGTATTTTGTTTGGCTTTCTCCATTCATAGGAATTCTCTGACTCCATTTGTATTTTATTTATTTTTTAAAGATTGTATTTATTTGAGAGAGAGAGAGAGAGAGAGAGAGCATGAGCAGGGAGGAGGAGCAGAGGGAGAAGCAGGCTTCCCGGTGAGCAGGGGCTCAATCTCAGGACCTTGTGATCACGACCTGAGCCAAGGCAGGTGCTTAACTGACTGAGCCAACCAGATGCCCCTCATCTGTGCTTTTTTTTTTTTTTCATCTGTGCTTTAATTTTTTAGCTGGTAACCAGTAAATGTCTAGTGTGGCTTGGGGTGCCAGGTCCTAATATCATTAGTGTGATGATTTATTTTCTATCTTGAAATACATGATTTTTTTTCCCTACCAGTGTGCCCATGGGAGCTTAGAAGACCCCAAAAGTGTGACCCATCACAAATTGATACATGCTGCTTCAGAGAGGGTGCTAAATGATGCCAAAACAATCTTGGAAGAGAACATCCAAGACCAAGGTAGGGGCCTCACAGGGCAGTGGTGGTAGCCATGGTGCCGCTGGGAGCAGAGGACTGAGAGGCAGAGGTGCCCTTGGCGTCCAAGTGTGTGCTCCAAGCTGGGGCCAAGCAGGGAAACTGGGTCAGCTAAAATGGTTTTATTCTTCTTTCGTTAAAACAAAGTACGCATTATGGGCTGTTTGTGAAAAACAGCACAAACCGAAATTGGACAAGCAGCATCCATCTGAGAAACCAGATGTGAACTTTATTTTTAATTCTGTTTCAGAGGAAAACCAAGGCCTCCAGAGCTGCTGCAGGCTTTATTTTGGGTTGAAAAGTACAATTATGGCAATTGTTTCAGATGTCCTAGGAAGATACTCTTATTCTGTGCACATCCATTTAGTTGCTTAGAGTTTGTGCCTGGAGGTATTTGGGGGAGAAACCTTTGGTTTTCTCTGTGTCATTCAAAGGATGATTTTAATTCTGGTATTCTCTTAAATCTCTTTTGAAAATACTGTCTACAGGTTTCCATCGAGCATGGAGGTCAGTCCATAGTCAGGTGGGAGCTGGTCAACCTTGCACACATGTCCTTGCCACACACCGGGTATTCAGCTCTGAGGGTTGAGACCAACTCTCCAACCTCAGGAAACTGAGGCCATTGAAATGAGGACATTTTGCAGGATTTCCACCAGTTCTTGGCATGGTTATCAGGGCTGTGCTGTGTGAGCCTACTGGGCCACCGGTCACCTCTATGACCCAAGGCAGGTTCTTGCCGCGCCCCAGAACCTATACATGAGTAGGGACGTGCGGGCAGGAAAGCGGGGAAGCAGGGCTTATGTGAGCCCTGGTGTAGGCATTGGGGTGGGAGGAGTGCTCTGCTCCTCTGTCCTTGGGTCTTCTTGCAGCCATTCTTTTTTTTTTTTCTTAAAGATTTTATTTATTCATGTGAGACACACAGAGAGAGGCAGAGACACAGGCAGAAGAAGAGAAGCAGGCTCCCTTTGGGTAGCCCAATGTGGGACTTGATCCCAGGACTCTGAGCCGAAGGCAGATGCTCAACCACTGAGCCACCCAGGTGCCCCCTCTCATGCCCATTCTGCCGTCTTCTGGATGAAAACAATAAGCGGCCTGATAAATGTGTTTTTTTTCTAGATGTCTTATTGTTGATAAAGAAGCGTGCTCCAACTCCACTTCCTAAGATGGCTGACGTCTCAGCAGAAGAGAAGGTAAGTTTCAGAGTTTGGAGCTGAGAGTCTTTGTTAGTCTCCCACAGTCCAGCCTGTGAGAAAGACATGTTCTGGGTACGAGTTGTTCCTAGATCCAGCAGGGCCCACAGTCCCCACCACGGGGGCTTCCCATGGTGGCCGAGCCCCTCCTGATTGCTGGTCATGTGGCCGGCACATGGGGGATCCCCCATGCTGTGCTCCTCAGGCTGCCAGTCTGACACGTTCTCAAGGGGGTTTAACTCCTGAGATGCTGTCACACCTGCCCCTGTGCCGTCCCTCCTCTCATCGGGCGTCCCTCCTGCACCCACAGGACAGGGAGGGGGTGGTGGGTGGCACTGAGGGCCCCTCCTGGGAGTGCAGGTGGGTGCATACCTGCTCCCAGGGGCAAAGCAGTGCTGTTTTAAAGGGGCAGCCACACTAATTTCACAGTTTTCCTTTGCTTCTCTCAGGGGGTAGAGTTTCTTATTCATGCTTTGAAATGCTGGGGAGAATGCTCAGCCTGGAGAAAGCAGGCCAGACTTCTTGTGGGCCCCTGGCTTCTGGCAGGGTGAACTATCTGAGGGCCTCCTCTGGGGCAGGCGTGCAGGAGGAGGCCTTCAGCTTCGCTTGCCCCTCTTATCTGTGGCCACGCCTGGTCAGCAGGCTCAGCCCATCTCTAGGAGACAGATCTGGGCCTGCCCCTGCCCCACCCGGAGAACTGCCCATGCAGACTGCAGCTCCCAGGTTACGGTGTTGGCCACGGGTAACCAGTGTAGATGATGACATTCCCACCGCCCCAGCAGCTCCAGGTGCCTCACAGCCCACTGTGGACCTCACTTGGCAGGTCACCTTTTATGTGCGTGTATTTGCAGAATGAAACATTGTAAGATGTTAATGCCTATTTTTGTAAATTAATATTAATTTTAAGTGAAAATAATAGACATTTATGAAGTCAACATTATATCTCAATAAAAGCATCTTCCTCCCTCCTGTGTCAAGCACCCTAAAGGCGACCTCTGGTAGCTCTTTCGACCATTCCTTCAGGAATTCTCTTCCTGATTTCCAAACCACACCCAGAATTGGCTATTTCTTAGAATATCAGTTTTAGATTCCCTGGCTCCTTGATGTTTGGAGAGTTAGATCTGAACACTGGTTGACTATCTAGGGTTTCCTCCCATGGTAGCATGCATGCCCTGTTTTCTATCAGGAGTGAGGGGTACTGAGTGAGGGGTACTGAGGGTATCTGTCCTTTCTCATACAACTTCGTTTCCCCTGGAGTCGATGAATGCCTTGTCCTTTGGTTTTCTATAGGCTTATCACTAATTTTTTCAAGTTCTTTGCCAGGATTAATAAATCCTTCTGAAAGCACAGTCACGTGTATGAGGCCGTCTGCCAGTCCCTGCCATCCTGGAGACCTCCCTCCAGCTCCTTACGGCCACATCTCTCTGCCTGAGTTGCCTCCCAGGCCTGTCTTGCAGCCTGGGCCTTCCCACCTCACTCCTGTGTTAGAGCTTCTGAGTCTCTTGTATCTGTGCACTTCCTGTTGCCACCTGTCATGTTACCACAGATGCATCAACCTCAGACCGCACACAGCTCCTAGGTCTATAGGTCAGCCGTTGGGATGGGCTCAGTTGGGCCCTACGCTTAGGCTCTGGGGTTCAAATCCAGGTGCGGCTAAACTGCGTTCCTCCATGGAGGCTCTGGGGAGGGGTCCGTGTTGCGTTCCTTCAGGCGGTTGGCAGTTGCTACCGCCAAGGGGCCCAGGTCCTATTGCCTTGCTCTGTTAGCCGAGGCACTTTCAGCACGTGGTCCCCTGCATCTGCAGAGCCAACAACAGAATTTCTCATGTGTTGAATCTCTAGTCAGAAAAAGCCCTGTCCTTTCTCATGGCTTGCTTACTTAGGTCAAGCCTACCAAGGAGGGTCATTTCCTTAAAGTTGGCTGTGCCACAGCGTGACCTTACCCCCAGGGTGCAGCCGTCCTGCTCATGGGTTCTGGGATTGTGCAAGTGTGATGGCAGGACTTAGGGCCATCTTTGAATTCTGCCTGCAGAATCCAGTACCTTGCTGTTGACTTGTTCCCTTGGTCTGGTGCAGCCTGGCTTCTAGCATCTAGAAAGGGAAGGGAATCTTGAGGCCGTGCACTGCAGCACTGAGTGGCTGTCGGTGAGCACCAGCTGTGTGTGTGCACATGGGAGTGTCGGTCTCCGTCTCCAGGTGTCCATGTGGCTGGTGCTGGTCAGCCCTGACTCATCTTTTGTGTGTGCTCTGCCCCCCTTCCTCCCTCCAGGGTCTTCCAGCATCTTGGGGATTTCATGATTTCCATGGATGCAGGTCTTTCCCCTCTGCTGTGCCTGGCACGTGGAGTCTGGAGAGGTGTGTTTTTATTCTGGAGGTTTTTCTGGATTGTTTTTGGAGAACGTTCTCTCTACATGTTCTCTTCCCTCTTTCTGGAGTTCCTGTTGGATGCTGGACCTGCCTTCAGGGAGGTTTCCTGGACATTATCCTCTAACTATGCTCTGGACTGTTATCTGGCTGAGATCTTTAACATTTCCCAGTGGGGACTTGTCCTCCAATGATGGTAGCATCCTGCTGTGGTCCTCTGAAGGTTTTCTGCTGTGAAATCTTTTTCTTTTTTTTTTTTCTTTCTTTTTTTGTGAAATCCTTTTCCTTCTCTCTTTCATGCTTCTTTATTTTTCCCGTTCTCATTTTAGTCTCTGTCTCTCGTGTTGCAGGCTTTCCGCACATACCTGGCTCTCTTTGGCAGCTTTTTTAATAGGAGGCATGGGGGGCTCCCTGGCTGCTCAGTGGGACATGCCTGCCGCTGGGCTTCCCTGTGGGGCAGACCCAGCCTCTGCCTCCCCCTCCTCACAGTGGTGTGTCTCCTGCCCAGTGTCCTTGAAGCCGGCAGTGGCTGGGCCGGGGCGGGGAGGGGGGTGGTGGTGCTGGGTCTTGTCAAGGATTAACCTGGTGCCTCCTTTTCCCGCAGCAGAGCCCAGGCTCCCATCTCCCCAAGTCTGCTCCCCCTGGGTGGCTGCTGGCTGCACAGGGTGATGACGGAGTGCTGTTTTTGGCTCCAGCTGCTCACTGCCAACCTGGCACGCTTTCTTCGGGCTCTGGTGTCGGCCTGGAGTTGGCCTGGCCTTGTTCCTGGTTGGGCTTCTGCTCTGTGGTCTTTGCTAACCACCCCCCCCCCTTTCTGTTTTCTATCTTGGAAGAATGGTCTCCATCTCTCCCATCCTCTTGACCGTCTAACATGGATGTGCTGTTGTGGCAGGGTTTCCGGGAGCAGCTGGGGTGAGTGTGCATTCCTGCTCCCCTGTACAGCCCAGCTCATGTGGGACAGTCTCTCTGTGGCCACAGGGACCGTGTCTGTCTTCTCTGCTGCCCTGCCACCCTCTGGTTATGACAGGCATGAATTGTGTCTCCAGTGAGCATGTCTTCTGTCCCCAAAGGTGTGCACAGAACCTGCAGGGACTCTCTGCTGCCCACAGAGAGTGATTCTTTCCATATTCGTTTCTGACTTTATTTTTTTTTTTTTAAGATTTTATTTATTAGAGAGAGGGAGAGAGCACACAGCAGAGGGAGCGGCAGAGGGAGAGGAAGTGCCAGGCTCTCTGCTGAGTAGGGAGCCCGATGCAGGACTTGATCCCAGGACCCAGAGATCACGACCTGAGCTAAAGGCAGACTCTCCACCAACAGAGCCCCTCAGGTGCCCCCATTTCTGACTTTCTAATTACTTTTCTGTGTAGAAAAAACAAGACCAGAAAGCCCCAGATAGAGATGCTATCTTCCGAGCAACTGCCAACTTGCCATCCTACAACATGGACCGAGCTGAGGTCCAGACCAACATCAGAGATGTGAGTGCTTGTTGTGGCCGCACTGTATGCTCATTCCACCTGCTTGGGGGCCACACAGGCTCTTGACGGTACTTGGGGAAGTGGGAGGAAAGGGCTGACAGGAGCTCTGTGTACATTTTTGTAACTTCTCCATAAACCTAGAATTATTTCAAAACAAAAAATTTAAAAAGACATCGGAAGGCAGAACTGAAAAGACAGATCCTACTGGGAGAATATCAGAATTTTGCTCTAATTTTGGCAAAAACTTATAGATAGAATCTGGACTTTGGGTTCAGATTTTGGATTTTTGGATTTTGGATTGGAAAGTTCTAAGTTAAAAAAGCAGAGTGTGACCAGTATCCTATGGACTGGCCCAGAACTTGGGGTACATCCACATTGTGCAGGACTGGGACAGCGTGGCTACCTAATCTGAGAGGGCCACCCTGAGCACTGCTCTAAGCAGCAAAGAGTTCCTTATTGACCAGGGCGTCCAGCTCTGAAACTCATCCCTGGTTCACATGTAGCTTTGCCCCATGCAGTGTCTCACATCGTATCAGAATCCTGTGTGCGGGAAAGAGGAGCGGCTAACCAGTCTTGCCCATGGGACTGGGGACCAGTCCATAGGGTTTCTGATTGCATTCCCAGCAGCCTTCTTCCTTGTTAGGGGCCAGTTAGCTGCAGCGGACGCTGCTGTGCCAGCCAGCCTCAGGCCAGGTGAGATTCGGAGGCCCGGGTCTGGGAAGCCCATCCAATCAGGTTGATCTCTTTTGCTTATGTAGCAGGCTGGCACTTTTCTGTGTTGGGCTAAGGCCTGAGCAGTGTCTCCAGATGTTTCTCGGTGTTGCCAGCTAAGAAGCCATGTGCACAGCCCATTTGTGCCAGTGAGGCCTCTCCTCCCCACCAGGTGCAGAGCTCTCCTGCCGCTCTGTGGTCTCACTTCCTTCTTTCTCTGTTGGTCTCCACATTCTGGAACCAATAGTGGCATAGTTTGGACTCACAGATACGGAGCTGTAGGGCCCAGGAGTGTGATTATACACCCGGGTAGGTCTCTTGGGCACTTGGAGAAGGAAGAGCCTTTTTTCTTTCCCTGCAGTTCCAGACAGAACTCCGGAGAATCCTGGTGTCTCTCATTGAGGTGGCTCAGAAGTTGTTAGCGCTGAACCCAGAAGCTGTTGAATTGTTCAAGAAGGCAAATGGTACGAGCAGGCTCCAGGTTGACTGGGTCCTGTGTCCAGACTCCACTGCTTGCCTGGCCTCAGAGGCTGTATCAGTGGCCCACGGGCCCAGCGTCAGTCCTTTCTGTGGATGTGGGGCTCCTGTTCAGCATGCCGGCTGAAGGTTCTGTGTAGATTTGCTGAAGTTTAGGGAGTTTGGCACCCAGGTGGGGTCCTTAGGCTCCGTGGTGGGGGGGCAGCCCTCACGCTGGCCTGGCCCTCACAGGTGGCCCTGTCTCTTGCCCTCAGCGATGCTGGACGAGGAGGAGGATGGGAGAGTGGACGAGGCCGCCCTGCGGCAACTCACGGAGATGGGCTTCCCGGAGAGCAGGGCCGCCAAGGCCCTCCGGCTGAATCAGTACGTCTGGGCCACTTCCTCCCCTTGGTGCTGATGCTTGGCAGCCCCCCCAGGGTGATGTCCTTGGTCTCCTACTTTTACATTGAACCATTTTTAATAGAGACTTTAAACATACGTCCCAGAAGTAGCTGGGACATCTTGAAGTGTCTTAAGACAGTGGAGATGGACTGGCCTTTGCTCGAAACGTGCCGGGGGCAGGCTGTCCTGTGGGTCCTCCCTGGGCTGTCATGTGCAAGCACCATGTTGAAGCCTGTGCCTGGCAGGGACGTGGTGGCTGAAGGTGTGTGCAGTGTCCCCCTCAGCAGCCTCTCGTGCTTGCCTGGCCTAAGCCACTTGCTTCTGCATCTGCACTTATACCCAACATAAGCGACTTGTACCCAGAAGACGGTCCATGGGCTGTGCTGCTCTTTGCCATGGAGCTAGGCCCTTAACGTATACCTCACAGGCGGGTTCCCCATGCTCTGACCAGGGTCTTGGGGCGGTTTGGGGCAGGGCCTGGAGCTTCAGACCCTTCTGTACTGAGATTCTCACGATGAGGGGCACCAGAGAGGCTGTCCCTGGGGCTGTCAAGGAGGCCCTCTAACCGGCTGGGGGTGCTGGAAGGAGTCTCCCGTTGCCTTTCAGCATGTCGGTACCTCAGGCCATGGAGTGGTTAATAGAGCACGCGGAAGACCCGACCATTGACTCGCCTCTTCCGGGCCAGGCCTCACCGGGAGGGGCGCGGGCTGAGGCCACTCCCGAGGCCGCTCCCGAGGCTGCCCCCGAGGCTGCAGGGACTAGCACGGAAGATGAGGAGCCCAGAGATGAGCTAACGGAGATCTTCAAGAAGATCCGGAGGAAAAGGGAGTTTCGACCTGATGCTCGGGTATGTGTTCTGCAGCCCTGGGGCAGCCGGGTGGGGTTGTGGTTTCTCTGTGGCGCTACACCAAGTGGAAGGAGCTAGAACCAGCCCTGGCCCTGGAGAGAGTAAAACTGGGTGAGGGGCTTACAGACTGGCACACATTCAGTTTTAAGTTGTCCTCACGGATCCAGGTGGCTGTTTTTCCTCCGAATAACTGGCTGACATATTTGTCATCTCCTGAAAACTCCTAGTAGGATGCCGGCCACATTGCCACTGTTGGCGAGCCGTGGGCATGGGTGGGGACACCCCTAGAGATCGGGAGATAGGGTGCACAGGATTGCCTGTGCGTGGGGAGGCTGGTCAGGCTCTGGCCATCTGGTGACCATGGTGTCTGCAGCATCCGGGGACCTGGGGTTGGCCAGCTCTGGCTGTGTTTGGGTGGCTGACATTGCTGTACCACATCTGGTTGCCCCTTTGCCATTACTTCACTCCTGATGCATCCGTGGCTGCGTGTTCTCCACTGTTCTGTTCTTCTCCTAGGCTCCTGGTTTCCTCTTGGATGTTTTCTCTGCTCTGAGCTTGCGGTTTTCTTTCAGGTTATAGATCAGTGAGCTCTAGGCATTAGACCTGAGTCCACCCGGTCTTGTGATTCTGCTTGGGGCACAGTGCTGTCAGAGTGGCTCACTGTGGACTTGCGTTTCTGTGGGAATCCCATGTGGCTGGGCTGTGGGATGCCTGCCGTGGGTGATTCTGAGGCCGTTTCCATGGGCTGAGTGGCATGTCCCTCTGGGGCCAGGTGTCCCATTAATCACACAGGCAGGACTCCTAGGCCACACGCGTAGTATAGGCTGTGGCTTTGGGGTTGGCACTTCCCTGCACAGGGGCCAGTGCTCTTCTAGCTCCTCTTCCCTCTGGGGGTGTACACCCTTGGCAGCATCCTGCTTCTGAGCTCCAGGTCCTCATCTCATAGGGACCCAAGGCCCACGTCCTGTCTGGGTGTGGCCGCTAGACCCCAGCCCATAGGCCCTGCTGGTGGCTGCTGCCCCCTCCCAGGGCACACCATTTGTCAGGCCAGGTTGCTGTTCTTTGCTCTCTGGTGAGCTCAGCAGTGCCATCTGGAAGTGTCCTGCTTAGCGGTAGCTGCTGGGTCCTGGGTTTCCCAACTGAGGGTGCTCCCATGTCGTCATCAGCCCTGTCACCACCTCGGTGGTGTCCATGTGCTCTCTTCGCAGACGTGCACTCAGGCCGGGCCGTACACCGTGGCCTCTTTGTGGTACAGGTTCTGTGACGATTGTTATGCAAGGCTGTTGAGGCTGGGCCAGGGTGGCACACTCTCCCATCCTTTGGTCCTACACCGTTGGAGAGAAGAGTCCATAAGGACTGGAGTGTTAGTGTGGCTCCCGGGAAGCCTGGATCGGAGAGCAGGGCTTGCACTTGAGACAACAGACTTTGCTGTTATCCCCACCCCCAACACCTGCACCCCCATGCCAGTGCCAGCTGTGGGCGGGCAGCGAAGTGCAGTGGGCAGGGCAGTGAGTGCGCAGACCCCTGGCAGGATAGTGCGGGCGCATCCTTGCGGTCACTGTGCAGAAGTCCTGGGGCATCGCTTCCCCAGGCTGAGGTAGAAGTGAGTGACACGAGAGGCTAGTTTTTACTGATGTTCATGGAAAGACCACCCTATCCTTGGATTTAGTGGGAGGTTCTGGACTTTTTCTGTGACTTGGAGGTCAGGCTCTGGTGTGGTGGGTCCTCCCGACATTCATGGGTGGAGCCCCCAGCCCTGGGGTTACGAGCCGGTTCAGGAAAGCACATGATATGGGTCGTAGTAGAAATGCTGCCTTGTGAGCTCACCGAACCCCGTTTGGCTCCAGTGAAGCGTCTGTCCTGACTGCCACCTGCTGCTGACTTCCTTCCTGCCGAGTGCTCCTTGGGACGTCCAGTTCAGGCTGAGCAGGGCCGCAGGGGTGTGGGCCCGGGGGCTCTGCGGGTCACTGCCAGCACTGACCCCTAGGCACCTCAAAGAAGTAGAGCAGTTCAGCAGGCAGGTCAGACAGGAAGAAGACAGGCACCTTGTTCAAGAGCGTGATTTGATCTTTAAAGAGTTAACTTGATGAAATCTTTTTTTTTTTTCAAGAGGAACCCTTTTAAAGATTATATAAGTCAAGAGTAGGGGTGCCTGCCTGGGTGGCTTAGGCAGTTAAACATTTCCCTTCAGCTCAGGATCTTGGGATCGAGTCCTGCATGGGGCTCCCTGCTCAGCAAAGAGCTTCTCCCCCTCCCCTTGCCCCTTCCCCACTTGTACTCATTCTTTCTCAAGTGAATAATAAAAAGATTAAAAAAATAAAGAGTAAGGTAAGGTGAAGGATGTATCATCTTATATGATTTTTGTCCCGAAGATGTACGTTTCCCCCACCCCCAAAACGTTGAACATTGGGTCATTCCTCCCTCCAAGAATCATTACATGTTCATTATGCTCAGGTGTTCATACCTTTCCTTCTGGGTCACGAGACCGTCCACAACGAGTTCACGTGTGGTTGTGGAGACCGTGTTGTCCAAACATGGGAACCAACCTCAAAGGTTCTGATGTTGGTGTGGCCTGCCCATGGCACATTGGTAAGCGAGCATCTGAGCATGGGTCTGGCTGCATGGATGCGGCCAGGCCCTGGCTATGTCCCTCTGCTGCTCAGGAGACTCAAAGCAATTTGGTGCAGCTGTAGGGGAGCAGAACTGAGCGACAGGATGTCCTGTGCTGACCTCTCAGCCCCCTACTGGGATGTTGCAGTGTGCAGGATGCGCCTGGCTCCAAAGCTGTGCTGCTCCGGGGTGTGCAGGGTGTCCTCAGCCAGCACAGCCCTGAGTGCTCTGTGGCTTCTCCTTCAGGCTGTCATTTCCCTGATGGAGATGGGCTTCGATGAGAAGGAAGTGATAGACGCCCTCAGAGTGAATAACAACCAGCAGAATGCTGCCGTGAGTACCAGGCCACAGTCCGTGCACCCGTGAGGCTCTCCTCCCTCGCCAGCATGACCTGCACCAGGATAGTCTGTGTGTTTGGCTCTTTTCTCACATGGCCCATTGGTTTGCTTTTCAAGTGAAACGAGGACAGATGGTCCAATGGTATCAAATGTTTTATAAGTCCTTTGTCTTTTTAAGAAAGTCCATGTTTGATGGGCGAGTGTGTGATGTGTTTACGGACTTGATTGAACTACCCTGGAGACAGATCCCATTCCATGGACACATGCCCTGCAGAAGGACAGCTGCCCAGGAGGGTGTGGTGGCGGGCTGCGGGGTGCTGCACCGCGGGGACACGGCACCACGGCTGGGCCTTCACTGGCTCCGGGCTTCCTGGGGATGCAGCCTGGGGCTTCCGAGCATTTCTTCACTCTCCTTCTGATACTCTGGGTGGGTTCTACCTCACCCACGTTCAGTGAGCGGCGAGAAGTCAGCTGCTTGCCTGAACCGTGTAGCCGGGGTCTGCTAGACGGGTGTCACTCCTCCCTGACGTACACGTCCCTAGTCTGGGCCCCACCCCGGGAGCAGCCCTGGGGACTGGGGCTGTGACTCAGTGTGTGGCTCTTGCGTTTGCAGTGTGAGTGGCTGCTGGGAGACCGGAAGCCCTCCCCCGAGGAGCTGGACAAAGGCATCGACCCTGATAGCCCTCTCTTTCAAGCCATCCTGGATAACCCGGTGGTGCAGCTGGGCCTGACCAACCCGAAAACATTACTAGGTACATGGGGTTCCCCAGGGGCAGGCCCCATGGCTGTCACTGAGCGATGGCTCCTCCGCCCAGTGGGGTTACCGCCACCATCCATGACTCCTGCCTGAGTCACCGTGGGGTGACTGGCTCTGCCCACACTGTGGCGGCCTCCGGCTCCGGACGAGCTCTGGAACCAGTTAAGAGTGGCTGGTCCAGGTCTGGGAGGGTGTGAGTGGCCCGCAGCAGGCCAGCATGGTGTGGGCGGCAGGTGTTTGCTTGCTCTTCCTGTTGGGAGGGATTTCTTTGGCCCCACATGGTCTTGAAACAACATGTCTACAGAAGTGTGAATGATTTTTGTAACTTTTGTAACAGTAAGACTGATGATAGCCACCTTCACCTTCCAAAGGTGGTATTAAAGCCTGGAGCGTTCCCGGCCCTGCTGGTCTTCCGGGCGCCTGCCCTGCTGTGCTGCTGTCCCCACAGCCCAGAGAGCGAGCCTTGTCATTGTTTGGGCTCCTGGGAGCTGCTGCCCCTCATATCTGTCCCGTCCCCTGAGCCCTGTTACCTCGTTCTTCCCATGATGTATGTCCGCTGTACCTGTGTCAGGGCGTGCCACTTTGGTGCTCTGTTGCCCCCGGGCTGTGCCTGTGGGGCATGCATGTGCAGGTGGGGCTGCAGGGATGCACCAGGCCTGCAGCCACCTGCATAGCCCCCGTGGCTCCCTAGGGTGCCTGTTGAGGGCGCCTGCCTCCCAGGTCAGCACAAGTGTTGCAAGCTCAGCCCTGCCCCTTCTGGAAGCTTCAGCTACACCAGGACCTCAGCTCTGAAAGGCCTCTTTTGGTCTCTTTTTCTTTGGATTACTTTTGTTAGTTATCACGTGTGCTGGACGCTGATCCTTTGTCAGTTTATTTGTGTTCTGAATATCATTTTCCCATTTCTGGTGTTTTGCTGACTCACTGTGATGTGTCTTAATGTAGCCGAAAGTGTGACGTGTTTCATCGATGATGTGAATCCACCTGAGAATACCCTCGAAGCCCAAGGCAAGGAACACATCCTCCTTTGTTTCTAGAAGTGTCGTCCATTTTGCTTTCCTCATCGACATTGATAGCCTACCCAGGAGTGTGTGCAGTGCAGGATAGGGAGCCAGCCTTTCTCTTGGTCCGCAGGTTCCAGGCTTTGGTGGCACGCGTGTGTGTGTGTATCTATCTTCCTTCTCTGTGCGGGGTGCTTGGGCCCCTCGCTTGGCACCCCACTCTTTTGTTGCCTGGGGCCTGACAGGGGCAAGAAACATGCTGCCTTGGGTAGGTCCACAGCCTCTTCTGAAGGGTTTTCCATTAGTGTTTGCCCAAGGCCACTCTCTGCTGTCGGCTTTCTTGTCTTTTCTGCAAGACATGCTTGGTTAGATGCAGGGAGTGCCATCACGAAGACATGCATTTTTACTGAACGACTTTCCCCATTTTCTGGATGGCCTAGTGGTGTCACATTTGCACACATGGAGACTTTTCCTCATATTTCTGAAATGCAGGCAGGGCACGTGCCACCCAGGCAGCGCCTGGTGGGACTCTGGCCCACGGAGGTGCTGGGGGCCACGGATCTTGGGCTGGGGCACTCTGCCTACCCCCCACCATGTGGGGCTCAGCTTTGTGCACACACCTTTCTGATGGGGGTGTTGAAGGTGAGCTTTATCCCTCAGATGAAACAGAATGGTCAGCATAGGTGACCTGGGCCGCGGAGGGAGTGCAGAAGCCAGCCCATCTTCTCCGGCCCCATCCCGTTGCGAGTTTCCTTTGGATGGTGTGGCCTGTGCACCTCCCACTGTATTCCACTTCCTGCTGGCACATCACCTGGGATGTGTTCTCCTGGCCTGGCTGTTTATTTTTGAGGTTTATTCATCTTAGAGAGACGCTGAGTGTGCGTGTGTGTGAGGGGGGCAGAGGGAGAGGGAGAGTCCCAGGCAGACTCCTCGCTGAGCCAGGTTCCATCCCATGACCCTGTGGTCCTGACCAGAGCCACAGACTGTGCCCCCAGTGCCCCTCAGCCTTGCTGTTCCAAACAGGAGAGTTTAGTGGGTGCAGGTCTTTTACCCTGTATGGAGGCCATGGGTCGCGAAGCACACGCTCTCCCCCCGACTCAAGGCACCCAGGTCACTTTTCCTCTGGTGGCCTTGGGCCGAGCACTGTGACTGCCCTCTGTGTGCTTCCTGCCTCGGGCACAGCTGGCCTCCCTGAGGACATGCCCCCCACCTGCTCCGAGCACGGGCCTCCCCTCCCTCCCCCTATCACCTGCACTGCTTGTGCTGGCTGCTGGCATCTCGTCCCCATGCGGCCTTGCACATCTGCCTGCTTCGGACACGAACTCAATCCTATGGCTCCTCGTGTGTCAACACCTGTCCTTTGTCACATGTGCAAACTATTTGCCCTTCGGTTCTTTCTGAAATTCACAAGTTTAAGTCCTGCAGAAGATCGTCCTCCCCCAGATAGACACCCTCCGATGTGGCATTTCACGGGCAGCCACTTAAGGTTCTGTTTGGCCCTTTCCTCCCAGAGCCGCTCCCTTTATGCCAAGAGGAAATGGACATGTGCCTTGTCCTCACTGAGCCCCCACGCTACCCAGACCTGCCGTTATCCCTAGTTCTTCTGGGGTCTCTGACTGCTATTTATACCTGGTTTTTGGAGGGTTTTGATCGGGATATACCCAGTGATTGTTTTAAGGGCTGGGAGGGCTGTCAGTCCTATATGAGGAGTCCCTCTTTCTTGCTAAGCCACCATCCCAGGTGACCCCACAGAGCTGCTGAGGCCCAAACACACAGGGCATCTGGGCTGTGGCGGCTCTGGCCAGGCTCCGTGCTTGCTGCTGGGCAGGGGTTGCTGGAGGACGGACTTCCCAGCTGCCCCAGCCCTGTGTCCCCATGCTGGGGCTTGGGTCGTAGAGCGCTTTGCTAGGAGACACCAGTGTTTCCAGAGGAAGCGGTTTTGTACAACTGTATAGACCATTTGTTTTCATGTTGTGAACTGCTCAGTTACATTTTTATCTTTTGTTTTATTATTTATTAAGATTTTACTTTTAAGTCGTCTCTATGCCAGGTGTGGGGGTCGGACTTATGACCCCAGGATCGCGTTTCGCCTGCTCCAACGACTGAGCCGGCCAGGTGCCCCTCAGTTATGTTATGTTGTGTTATGTTATGTTATGTTATGTTATGTTATGTTATGTTATTATTTATTTATTTATTTATAATATATTTTTTAAGATTTTATTTATTTATTCATGAGAGACACAGAGAGAGGGGCAGAGACACAGGCAGAGGGAGAAGCAGGCTCCATGTAGGGAGCCTGATGTGGGACTCGATCTTGGGACTCGGGGGGCATGCCCTGAGCCAAAGGCAGATGCTCAACTGCTGCACCATCGAGGCGCCCCTTGTTATGTTTTTTAAAGTTATTTCCTTAAGACTGAACATTCTGGTTTTCCCAGGCAGATATTGTTAAATTTGCAGCAATGTCTTTCTGTCTTTTCTGCATCTGGTGATTTTGCCAGAGTGGGATTGGAAGCGGAATTACTGACTCATAGGCTGTGACTATTTTTAAGATTGCTGATAGCCGTTGCCAAATCGCTTTCCAGAATTGGTGTGCCAGCGAGCACATAGGCTGCCACCACACGCTCAGGGTGGAGGACACGGTCTTCTGACTGCGGGTGCGCTGCTGTGCCAGCAGATCAGTGCTTGCTGGGGGGACGTTGAGGGATTTCTGCGTGGTCCCTGGTGACGTGAGGCTCGCCCTCTTAGGAAGGAGCCGTCGCTGCCGGCTTCCTGTGTGTGGGGAGCTGTTAGCCGACCTTGCTCTGTTTTCCTCACAGCATTTGAAGACATGCTTGAAAACCCCCTGAACAGCACCCAGTGGATGAATGACCCAGAGACGGGGCCAGTCATGCTACAGATCTCCAGGATCTTCCAGACCCTGAACCGCACGTAGGTGGGGTGGCTGTTCCGCTGTGCTGCCCTAGCACCTGTCCCAGGAGTTGGGGACGGATCCAGACAAGGAGTCCTCTTCCTGTCCCCCAGCCCATCGCAGAAGAACATGGAGACCCCTGGGTGCTGTGGGCTGAGTGGGGGGCTGGGTGGGGCTGGAGGGGCCTCGCTTGCTAGACCTTGCCCTCCATGCCGCCCTGGGTTGTCCGGCACAGGGGCTCTTCTCATGCTTTGATCTTCTGCTTAAAAACTTGTGTGATGGCAGTGTGCACGGCCGCATCCAACCTCTGACAGTGTTTACAGACGTGGTGGCCGCTCCAGGAGGGGTCACCTCCCTCCACAGTGTCCCTCTGGGCTCTGGAAACGCTCCTTGACCCAACCCGTAGGCGCTGCTTGTTACTTGGAAGAAGGCATGTTTCAACCCAAAGTGTTAAGGTCCGTACTAACTTACGTAGAGGAACTCACAGATGATTTTTCTTTAATAAATAAATCCCCTTTTTCCTATTGTCTGTCTTAGTATTATTTTAGTGCCAGAGAAGAACCCATTTGCGTTCTTGACACTTGCCACTCTCCCTGGGCACATTGGCTGTTGTGCACACCCAGTCTGTGGGCAGAGACCACGTTCCGAGCTGAGGGGGCTTGGGAGTGGTGGGGTCAGGAGAGCGCCCCCAGGCCTCCCTAGTGGAACCGGGGTGCCAGCGGGGTGGCCTCTACCATCATTTCCTCTTTAAACATTACTTGTGGGGCGCCAGAGTGGCCCAGTCGGTTGAGCTCCAGCTCCTGATTTTGGCTCAGGTCATGATCTCATGGGTCATGATCTCGGGGTCCCAGGATGGAGCCCTGCCATCCCACATCATCAGCTCCACGCTCAGTGGGAAGTCTGCCTGAATTCTCTCTCCCCCTGCCTCCTCCCACTTGGGTTCTCTTGGGCTCTTGCTTTAAAATAAGTAAATCTTTAAAAAAAAGAAAAATGTTACTTGTGTTGCAAAAATGAGAAAATGGGTTACAGCTTTCCTTTTTTTTTTTTTTTCCAACTCTGCTTGTTATTTGTTGCTTGAAGTTCTTAGACGCTTTCCTGAACTTCCCTCCTGAAGTAGCCCCACCTACCTGTGCCAGAGGTAGACATGCTTGAAAAACCCAGTGGGTGGCACCGGGTATGCTCAGCTGTCGCCTCATGGGCAAGTGCAGGTTGGGGGCCACCTTACTGCAGGGAGCCTTGGCTCAGCTCCTTCCCCTGTTAGCTCAGCACAGTATGTTAAGGAAATGTTTCTTTCCATTGATCTGGGTTTTTTTCATTGTTCTTTAGATTCAGACTTAAAACTTCTGGATGGAAATAATAAAAGTAATTGTTGGAGGTCATGAATCTCACGTCTTCTGAGCCTCATGTTAAGACCATTTCAATGGTTCCTGAAGCTGTAAATTGTCCAGAGCACCAGAGATCTGCTTTGCACTCTTACTAGGGTTAGTGTTGTGTCTTTTATATATATATATATATATATATATATATATATATATATATATATGATTTTATATTACTTGTTCATGAGAGACACAGAGTGAGGTAGAGACACAGGCAGAGGGAGAAGTAGGCTTCCTGCAGGGAGCCCAATGTGGGACTCAATCCCAGGACCCCAGGGTTACGCCTTGAGCTGAAGGCAGATGCTCAACTGCTGAGCCACCCAGGCGTCCTTAGTGTCATGTCTTTAGAATGGCCACCTGCAAATGGTTCTTAAACTTTGTGTCCTTGTTTTTCTTTGCTGCTCTGCCTGGTGGAACTGCTCCAGTAACAGCTGGGGGCTGGCCGGGGACCCAGCTCTCTGTGCCCCTGATGCTTGCAGCCCAGCATGAAACACTGCGTTTCTCAGACTCCCCAGAGAAGCCAGGTTCCTGGTCAGGAACTGACCTATGGCAGCTTCACTGGGGCCTCAGGCTCAGTAGGTGCACCTTTTCCGTCCACTGTCAGGGAGATTCTTTAGTGTGGAAAGTACATCAGTACTTGGCTTAGAGCGTGTCCTCCGACCGCCAGAGCAGCCCTGGCCTGAGTTCTGGCTAAAGAAATCTTGTACCCTTCACAGCTGGATGACCAGCCCCCCCTCCAGGCACAATTCCTGTGTTGCTTATTGTAGGTGGTTTTAGGTCGGGTGGCAGCTGGGCATTTGGTGCCATCTCCCAGGTGGCTGGGGGCTCTTGCTCCCATGAGGTTTCCCTCCCTGCTTGGGGCCCTGTGCTGTGGACCCCCCGGGCGGTGGTCCTTTGGGGGTATGTGTGGATGGCTGCACCCCTTGGGATTGATTAGGACCTGCACTGAAGCTGGCGTCCAGGGCCTGCCCCGTTCACCCACAGGACGACATCATGGCATGTCACTAGCACATCTGCGGGGTATTGAGGTGGTTTTTTTGTTTTGTTTTTTTTAATTTTTTTTTTAATTTTTTAATTTATTATTTATGATAGTCAGAGAGAGAGAGAGGCGCAGAGACACAGGCAGAGGGGGAAGCAGGCTCCATGCACCGGGAGCCTGATGTGGGATTCGATCCCAGGTCTCCAGGATCACGCCCTGGGCCAAAGGCAGGTGCCAAACCGCTGCGCCACCCAGGGATCCCACGTCTGCGGGGTATTGAGGTGTTTTGTACAGACCCAGGGCTGGCTCAGTGGAGCGGCCTTTCCATCTTCACAGGAGCCTCAAATGGTCTCAGGCACGGCTTGGTGGGTGGGAAGGTGGCTGAGGGGAGGCCTGTGGTCCAGGGCATGGCTGGTGGCGGAGGTTTCTGTCCAAGGGGAGTGGTGGCCAACCTGTTAACGTCCCCATCCTGTCCCTGGTCAACCGTGCTATGGTGCTGGTGAGAGTCTGCTTGCTGCTGGGTGGACTCTTTCTCCCTCTATGATGAATATCTTATAATACCTGCTTTACTGTCTGCAGTGGAATTTGGAGTAGATATCTCCTAATCACTTGCCTGGTTTGAAAAGGAATATGAAAAATAAAGCTGTAATTTGAATAAAACATCCATCTAGACTCTCAGGCACGGCTTTTGGTTCCCACACCTATGAGTTGTCACTCTGCCCTCACTGGCAGCGCACTCAGGACAGCAGACCAGAGCCAATGGGGATCGTGACCTAAACCCTGGGGCTCTCCAGAGGGGCGCCGGGTCTTGATAACGTTCTGGGTTCTGCAAAGCACAGCCTTCTCTCCACAGTCTTGGTCACCACGCTCGTTCCAGATGATTCCACAAGAACTAAGAATGTGAACAGCAGTGGGTTCCAGGCAGAGCTGGTCTCCAGGGGCAGGTGATGCCAAGGGGGCCTTAGCCATGTGATGCCTGGCAGGCCGAGGAAAGCTGCGCGGGCACAGAGTGGATAAGGCACTGCACATTTTTGGATGTCCCAGGCGCAGGGCAGCCAAGCCAAGGGGCCCAATGCAAGAAGTGTATGAGTGCGGTGGGTTTCTCTCCATCCGCCGGGCACACCTGTGCCTCCCTGCACCCCTCCTGGGGACCCCACCCCCTTGCAGTCTCGAGTGCTGGAGGTGCTCCTTGTGACTCCCTGGTGGGGGGCTGCGGAAGATGCTGGCACCTGATGTGTACCAGTATGTGCGCTCCCTGAGCAATGTCTCCTCAAAGCTTTGGGTGGAAACCAGCCTGAGAGGAGTCGCCTTCGAAGCTTGTGTGGGAACCCAGACTCCTTGCTTTGCTCAGACCAGGGGCGTGGGCGCTGCAGGTCAGCATCTGGGCCCGCTCCCTGTTGGCCCCATTGTGATCTGCCATCCTTCCTGACCGGGAGCAGATAATGAAGGGTCTGGGGTCCCCGTGCTACTGGATTTTCCCCAGAGTGGCCCTCACCGCACACTCTCTCTGGGAACTGAGCAGCTACATTAAGTCCAGTGTGGGCCCATGGAAGTGGACGGTGTGTGCTCGACCAGCCGGGCTAGGTTCCCTGGTGTGCATACTCCTCAGCAGCATTTGGCTCCAGGATTTCGGAGGTCACGCAGAAGGGAGCCTGCCTGGTGAGCAACTCTGCCCAAGTCACTTGTGAACATTTGGGGGTTGTCAGGAAAGGGCATGCCCCAGGTCATGTGTTCCAGAAAGGGCCAGCCCTGATCATTGCCCTGACCCTCCCACCACGTGGCTGGAAACAGGACTGGTGTGGGGCCCCCTGGCCCACAGCCATCCACCATGTGGCCAGCACCTTGGAGGAGCAGTGTGAGGATGGGGTGGTCGGCTGCTGGGAGTGCCTGGCGGTCCAAGAGGTACTCTGGGAAATGTGTAGGAGCCTGCGTGGGCACAGGGAAAGAGCAGATGGCCCCCTGATGGGGGACGAGGAGCAGACCATCATTTCCCATGGGTGGGAAGGAATGGCCATCTGCTCCAGAGCACAGTGTGTGTGACTTCACACCTCTGGCATGCAGTGGGTTCCAGATGCGTGATGGGTGAAAAGCCAGGGCACAGGAGCTTGGATGTGGGGACACAAGCCTAGGGAAACACTCAGAAGCCTGAGGTCAAGGGTGAGGGACAGAGGTGTCAGGGATGTGCCCATGTTACCTGCTCTGAGACTCCTCCCACCTCAGGCACCGTTAGGGGTGCAGTGTGTCCTTCAGAGAAGCTGTGTTGAGCCCTCACCCCTAGCACCTCGGACGCACCTGCGTTAGGAGACAGGGCTTTCACAGAGGTGATGGGGTTAGCTGAGGTCACTGGGTGGCCTCAATCCATAGGGGCGGTGAGGAGGCTACACAGAGGGGTGCAGAGCTTTGGGCTGTGCTTCAGCAAGCTGAGGGTGGCCGCTGGCCACCAGCCACTGGGAGAGGCTGGAAGAGATTCTCCCTTTGGGTTCAGGGGGCACCGGCCTCGGACTTGAGTCCCAGAAGTGGAGAGAACAGACATGGACCAGTTTGTGCTGTCATCCCAGCGGCCCCGGGAACCTCCTGTCCTGTCTGCCCTACGCCCCGCCAGCCTGGAGCACGAACTGGGTGCCCTTGCATGAAACTGTTTTGCCACAAGCCGTGGCAAGCTCCCAGCCGGCCGTGCAGCCACAGAGCACAGGTCTGGGGGATTGGAGAGTGACTGTGTGGGCAACTCCACTCGCCAGGTGCTGTCCTGTGACAAACACGTGACCTCTTGCAGCCTCTGGTTTCCCTGGCCTTGGGTGACCCCAGAGGCAATTCTCGTTATGAATTTTGTTTCTGGCAAGAAAGAACTAAGAGCCATGTGTGGGAGCCCAGGCCCCCATGGCAAGAGGGGCAAGGGATTCCTTTACAAAGCCCCAGGACGTGTGTAATTTGCGTTTCTGAAATGGCGCAGATGAAGTTTGTGGCCTTAAAACGTACTTTCTCATCGAGGGATGTCAGGCAGGGCCCTTGCTCCCAGGAAGGACAGGGGAGTGCTTGCACCCGGTGTGCTGGGTGCCAGCTGCACGGCCAGCCAGGATGGGCAGGGCTGGGGGGAAGCCGTGATCAATATAAGGCAAATTCAAGGTTGCTGACCTGCAAGCCATCCCACCAGGACTCCTGGGTTGTGG